GACATTGTAAAAAACACCATGTTTAGTTAATTAGGTGTATTTCTATCCTCAATATGAATATGTCTTAACCTTTAAGTGCACGATTTACAATCCAACATTAATTGTTCAATAAATCCAATGATATAATCATACAATGTACACCGTAGTCATACACGTTAAAATATAAAGGAAAGATCATAATAAATTGGTTTAGCACATACATCAAATAGTAAGAGTACCAAAAAGTTTTATCCCTAACCTTGACTATGAAAAACTAGCTACAATAACTAATAATGAAGTTAAATTTTAAGTATTGAAATTCTGAAATTGAAGTAAATACATAAGAAAAATAGTACTAGAACACCAAAACTATGGTGGACAATGCTTCCCTAATGAAAGACTTCTCTCAAGACTAAGGGGTGCTCTTAAGATGAATGTATATACAGGAGTAAAATGTAGAAAATGGAATGATTCTTTATGAAGAGTCTTCAAAACTCGTACATGGGGGGGGGGGGGTCTTCAACGGCCATTTTCGGACAAGAAGTCAAGCTTTTTAATAAGTTTTAATTTAGTCTTGTTTCCTGAATGATTATTAAGACTGGTAGAGTATTAAATTCTAGAGAGAAGTCAGAGTTAGAGAGAGAAAGTGAACAATTAATATTTCTCAACCCCCTATAACTACCTCTAGGGGACTATTTATAGGAGTAAATGTGGATTTTGGCCCCTAACCATGGGCTTAGGAGGCTCATTACAATAATAAGACCTCTTTTGGGCATAATAAGGCCACTAATGGGCTGAGTACATAACTTAGTAGATTAAGTGTGGAAATACATTCTACTAGGGTATTTACTGGCCGATCCGGTGTCTTTTGGCCGATGTGGTCCCCTGGTCGATACGGTCACGGGACCCACTTTGTCTCCGGACAGTATTCTGAGCAACTTTGGTTTCTGGCCGTCGCATGACTCATCTGGTGTTTTGACCTTCTGAGTATGTAGGGCATGGAGTCTGAGCCCATATACTCTATCAAAGACCACTGTGTTTTTTAATCATATAGCAAGCTGAGCAGCTGAGCGTGTATCGCTTTTAAAAGCAAAAGTCTTCATCCCAGAGGTCGAAAGCTGAGCAGCTTACATAAAATGTTGGACAACTTTTGGGTTTTATTCAACCATTAAACTACGATGCTGGAAACCGAGCGAGTTCAGGGAAAGCCGGGCGGCTTTCATCGTTTTGGTGTTGGGCGCCTTTCTTCTGTCTTGCACGGCTTCTGGGGCAGCTTGGCAAGTAAACGTTGGGCGAATTTTGTGGAAGTCGAGCGGCTTTCGCTTAATTCTTCGTGTGTGTTCTTCTTTCATCGTTGTATTTGGTTCTAACTCCAATAAAAGTACTTTCAAGCAAATGAGGCAAATATGTGAGGTTTTTATTCTTGTAATATAAACATAAAAGCATTTATGTGATTGTGTAGAACACTAGAACCCATTAATTAAGGGAACACTTATCAGGGTGTGTGTCCCACTATATACGTTGGGTGTGAATTGACTTCAGAAAACATCGGGAAAATCCTTTGATACCCGGTTGGGTATCAACCTTTAATAGCTGTGTACCCTGTCACTCATCCTGTTTTAGTATAAATACCACCTTGTTTCACTTGTTTAGCATCCATTTTATCATCTAGAGTTTATCCTTGTAATTTAATTAGTTGTGTGTTATTTGCATAATCTTCCTCTCTTAAGTAATAATTAATAATTAAGTAATAATTAATTAGAACCCTATTATATTTCAAAATTGATATTGGAGTACGTGTTGCTAGGTGATCAGTTGATTAATACTTTTGAAGAAGAAGAAGGAGGAGGAGAGGAGCGGGAGGCTGAATAGAAATTGCTCAAAATAGGATCACAACATAATCTATAAATAATACATTTCAAAGATACATTTAGGGAAAGTTTTGCCATATGTCATCTTCTAAGCAAGTCTCTTTTAAATCCTCTTTCCAATTTGGTGTATCAATTAATTATAGTGCGTGAGATAACCATTTATAAGTTAGATTATGATTAGAATTGCTACTACATACGCTTTTAATTCAGTCCAAACTACTATATATGTTGGCACTCTACCCAAGCACATTACCAAAAAAATCTCTCTTTCATACGAACACTAAATTGATGGACTTCAACCAAAAAAAATCTCTTTATTTTTTGTTAATATTAAAAAATCTCTTTATTTTTAATTTGATATAACTTTTTTATGTGTGATTACATTTTTACAAAAAATATATCAAAACACATATTTTTTTATTATCTTTCATATGACACCAATATCACATATGTAAAAATAAAATAAAATTAAACATATGATAGATGGGGGGTTTTAGGCTCAAAACGTTTCTTAAATAGATCCAAACTTTTAAATTTAAGATTTAAGATATCATGATTTTTTTTATGGAAAGATATCATGATTGTATAATGTAATTTCATGATACAATTAGGAGACAATGTATTTATTGACTGGAAGCGTCAATAAAGGCATATTAAGCTCTAATACATTTGTTTAAAAACAACAATTCAAACCGAATCAATAAAACAACTCGGTTAGGACTTTAATTTCTCAGAAATTAGAAAACATAGATAATGCAAATTTATTAGCTAGCACAATTCTATAAATGTATTAATGATTATTAAAGATTCCAGTGTTTATTGAATTATTTGAGGCAAATTTAATCTATTAACAAGCATTGTCTAAATTTTTAGATTCAAAGATGTTTATCGGGCATTCAATTGTTTACATTCAAATTTATTAGCTAGCACAATTCTATAAATGTATTAATGATTATTAAAGATTCCAGTGTTTATTGAATTATTTTAGGCAAATTTAATCTATTAACAAGCGCATTGTCTAAATTTTTACATTCAAACATGTTTATCGGGCATTCAAATTGAAAACCGAAAATCTATCGAGGCAAAATCAAGCTCCATTTCTTAATAGGTTAATATTTATTTCATTGTTTTGATGTAGTATACTAATGGTAATTTCATACTCATTCCATCCCAAATTGATTTGCAAAGTCAACATTTTTTGTTAACCAATAGTAAAGTTAAATCCTCCTTATTGATAATTAATTTAGTAATTAATATTTACATTTTCGGAAACTACGACAATATATTCATATCTCTATAAAGTTTCACAATTTAAATTAGAATATAATTAAAAATTTATATCCTAATTAAGTGAATAAAATCAAACTATATGACCAAAAAGAATTAACTTTGCAAATCAATTTGTGAGAGAGGTTGTATATATAATATTTGATCATTAACATGTTAAACTTTTGTATTTAAAATTATTTTCTAATCTTTAATTGTATATGAAATTACAATGTCCTAAAAATTGCAAGTACTAAACTATGAATTATATTTTAAATTATTATTCATTCTTTTAGAATTAAGGTCGGATGTTGTTTTTGTTGAATATTTTAAATTAATCTTTAAGAGTTCTAATAAATTGAGCTTTTCAACTATTGTAGGCTGGGAAACACCATAGTATATAAACATTACCTATAATTATAAAAAAAAATTGGGACTGGGCCGAAGCCCACCCTTAGAGAAATGAGAGTAATTGTGATCTTAGGAGAGAAATGAGAATTGATTTGGACCGTTAGATTATATTATGTGAAACTGAATGTGCATTAGGTGAAATCGGAATGTGCAGCACAAAAGGTATGACATAGTACGTGACATTATGTGAAGTTTAATTGTGCATTAGGTGAAACTGAAATGTGCATTAGGTGAAACTGCAGAAGTGATTCTGGAGCTCAAACTTAATCCTAGAATCATTTTTTTAGAAGTTAGGGGAGACCAGCTTCAGAAAACTAATTCTGTTTCTGATTTAAAAAAGAAGCAGAATCAGTTCCAAAGACCCCCTATAGCTACCTCTTGATGAGTTGATGTGATGAGAATCTATTTATAAGTTTTATTCAGCAGTCCCTCTATGTAAAAAATGGTCTATTAAAAGTTCAAAGCATGCAACCGCTCTTAGTCAATAATACTTATTTTACATAATATGATCATATTACTACCAATCACAATAAATAGATCGAAGGTCTAATTTGCAAAATTCTAAAACCTAGAAAGGCTAATATATTCAAAAAGAAATTGACTACACTCATTGTTAGATAAATAAATTTAAAAAATGTGAAGTTAGTTTTGAAAAAAACAGTAAGCCACATATGAAATTTAATGGATAAAAATAGGCATTGAGCATTCTTTTATGTTTAGGTAAAGATATTTGAAAAGATCAATTTCATCTAAATGCAACTGATAGTTATAAAACAATTTGCCCTTTTCATCAGAAAGTATAGATTAAGAATATGTCTAGATAATTAGTTTAAAAAAATATACTAGAAACAATTTGCCCTTTTCATTGGTATACATTTAACGGTATTTTATACCAACAGTCAATTACCATTGGCATGAGAGACTTATTCCTGCAGTCAGCGACGGATCTCTTTTGTTCAAGGGTGTTCATGTGAACACCCAGATTTTTGAAAATAAAATGTAAAAATACATATATAGAATTGTTGTAATAATTTATATATTGATTTTTATGTAATATTTCTTGTCCGTAACCTTATTTTTGGGATTTTAGTGTTGGAAAAGTTACATTTCTCAATTTATGGACAAAACAATACTCCGTATTATTTTGAAATTGATAAAAAAAATTGCACACTATATTCATTACAAACCAATATTATAATCGACTAAATAAGTGTTTTTCCATTAGTAGAACTAAAAAATAAAATCTTTTTATCCCGTGCACGACACGGGTACAAATGCTAGTTAGTTTTAAATAGAATCAACTGATGTTTCTTCCTTAAATGAGACTTATTTCATACGTAGTATTATTAAGAGAATAAGAATAGTTTTACTTGGATTGGAATTTTATCTGGTCTAGTACAGTATGATCTGAACTGGTCGGGTAAATATCTAGTGTTTGTGTATTTTATAATTATCCAAGTCTAATTTGGTCTGATTTGGTCTTGGACAAAAAAACGGTCCAAATAAAAACATTCCGAAAGAACAAAATAGAATTCTAACTACAGGTTTCTGAGCCTTAAAAAATGTAACTACTACATCCAGAGTATTTTAGAAAATATACATTGTTTTAGTTCTAATTTGGGGATGTTCTATCTCTAAGTCAAAACCCTAATGTAAGGCGATTCGGCAAAAGGGCAACGGCACAATGGGCAGGTTTTGGCATCAGTATCCAGCCACCGAAGCAGACAAAGTGCATGAAAGTGGTGCGAACAGTTCGCCGCGCGAAACACTTTTTCTCCTCTCCCCATCGTTTCCAGGCACACCGAACACTCCTCCGCGCCGTCAAAGGCTCTGGCGACCTTCAAATTATAAAGAACCGACGTGAGCCTCAAGAGCCCGTCCACGGCGATATCCCGCGGCAGCGACCACATGTACATCTTCACTAGGGTTTTAGTGACAATGAGTGGCACCGTTACGCTGTCGCGGGCGGAAGATCGCCCACGGCCAGACGACATGTTATTGGCGTCCCCGCGGGCGGAAGATCGCCCGCGGCCAGGCGACATGTTGCTGCGCTGTTGGTGGTAAAAGGACACGATTTGCGCGGCAATGCGTTCCGGCAAGCCGCTTTTCTTGAGGCAGTTTTCCAACTTTTGGTGCCCCACGGAACCACCACCACCATCATCATCGGTTTGCAGCCATGAGTGGCGCAGAGGGAAAACTGCTTGGAGCTGTTCCCTGGTTTGGTGCATGAATTTGTGGTCAACGCCGAATACCCGTATTTTTTTGTAAATTGCGACCGCGAAGAAGTCTTCCTCATTGTTGTCTTCTTCGCCTTCCGTTGATGACCATGGTTCATTCTTGTGCTCCAAAGTACTCAATTCCAACCCTTCTACACTGAATTCCATTATGTTATGTATATTGCGGGACGATAAGGCTTATATATTAGCTTCCTATGCTATGAACTTCAAGGACTAGCTGTATATATATATGGAGTTATATACGGCATGTCGGCAAATAATTAGAATCACATACGTAGTATATAGTCCCGATCGATTCTAGCTGCTGTCATCATATCATAATCGTCGGAAAGCTTTTCCTTGTAGTAGTAAAAGGATTGCATTTTTAATTTGTACATTACGTAATTAATTAATACGGAGTATAGTACTATACGGTCTTTCCCTTTTTTTAAAGTCTTTAATTTCTTTTCTTTGTTGATCATATCGGGTCTCATATATAGGTTTCCTAAATGTTTTTGGAAATTATCGTAGGAGTAAAATATGGGTCAAACTTAGAAATTATAAAAAAGGGAAATACTCACATCCCAACGGTATAAGGATGTTTTATTTTGGACTGTTTTCAGTCCCAGACCAGATCAGATCAGACCAGACCAGACTTAACCAGACCAGACTAGACTTGGATAGTTATAAAATACACAGAGACCAGACGTTTACCAGATCAGACCAGACCAGTTCAGACCAGACCAGACTTAAACAGACCAGACCAGACCAGCAAATTTCAGTCCAAAAGAAAACATCCTAATTTTGATATTATACAATCATTTCCTATAAACATATATAATTCGTCAAAAGTGAATTGAATATATATGACTGGTCAAAATTTTCAAAGATCACAAAATTTCAAAAAAACTTTTGAAATTAAAAGATCGAATTTATTGAAAGGTCTGTTTTTTTCTTATGATAAAAAGATCTTTTTCTCAAGGAATAAAGCCCAAATTTGACACTAATGCTAAGTGAAGTTAAGTGAACATAGTGAAGTTAAAACCCAAATTTTTTTCTCAATGAAGTGAAGTTAAGTGAACATAGTGCAATAAAAAAACCTAAGTTTTAATATAAAAAAAACTAAGTTAACCTAAGTGAATTTAGGTCACTTAGGTTAATGTAATGCATGTTGTTTGGATGAAGGTACTCTAGCTCATCTTATGTCAAACGAGAACTTAACCTCCGAAACCGCCCGATTCGGAGGTTTTTCAATTTAAGGTTCTTTCAAGTTCTCGGGAGTTAAGTGAAGTTAACACATAACCTAGGTTCTTGTTGCAAAAATACAAACAAACGGGTTTAACTAGAAATTGAACCTTCAATAACCTAGGTTAACCCCCAAACAAACATGTCATAAGGTTATAGCAAAATCTCAATTTTGACACTAACGTTCTTTTTTAACCAAAAAGCCCAGAGAAAATTGCTATACGGGAGACTAAATCATACACATTTTACCAAAATAAGACTTGGTCATGTTTTTCTCATCCGTATGATCTATTTAGTATTATTTTAAGAAACTCTTATTGTTGCTTTCCAGTTTTACCCTTCACAGAACCAGAGTACTTCTCCAACATCATGGCTTCCGTAATCGGATGCTAGATCACCTATGTTGCTTCATTGTGGAGTTTCTCGACAACCTCTCGTTGTAATTTCATCATTGGACATAGTGAATTGTGTGTATATATTGTTTTACTATCGGAGGCATAGTGACCAAATCTTTGACAATTATAGCATTGAATTTGAGGTTTATCATACCTTGATCTTGAAGACCCCTCTCTTCCTCGGCCTCTTGATGGATAGAAATTTGGACCTCTTTCTTCATTGTTGAAGGTCTTGTAGCTACCTCTTCCATAGCTTTGACTTCGACCACGCCCTTTTGAATTTTGATTTCTTCCATCTTGAAAAGTCTCTTTATGCCTTAGGGTGAGCTTGGTTTGAAGGGCTTGCTCCAATGGCTCTTCTTTTATCCTCTTCTTGAATTTTTCTTCATTAGCTTGAAGAGATCCCAAGAGTTGATCGACCGTCATAGTTTCTAGATCTTTAGATTCCTCTATTGCCACAACTATGTAATCATATTTTGGATCTAAAGACCGTAGAATTTTTTCAAACACACGGTTATCTTTAATTTCTTCTCCATTTCTCCTCATTTGAGTAATGACGCCTTGAACTCTTGAGAAATAATCATCAATGGATTCCGAAGAGTTCATTCTTAATGATTCAAACTCACCTCGAAGAGTTTGGAGTCTTACTTTCTTCACTTTATCTACTCCTTTGAAAGAATTCTCCAATATCTCTCATGCTTCTTTACTTGTAGTCGCACACACCACCTTTGTGAACATTGTTTCATCCAAAGCTTGATGGATGATGGAGAGCACCTTTTGATCTCTTTTTTAATATTTCTAAAGGCATTCTTTTGAGTTTGATTTAAAGCATTGACGTTTTCGGGTTCCTCGAAGCCTTGCTATATCATGTCCCATACATCTTCCGAACCAAGTATTGCCTTCATACGGATGCTCCATTTATCATAGTTCTCCTTTTTTAGTAGAGGAACTTGAAGGGAACTGACCATTTTTGGGTGATGACCGAACGGGCTCTGATACCACTATTGGAAATAAGTGAAGGAAGATTTTGGAAATCGGGAGGCTAAATTAATATATTATGGAAGAGATATTTGAACAAAGGGGAAGAACTCTTTTTATTAGAACAACTCAAATTGGCTTGATTTGCTTGATACAAAATGGTGGTAGGGAAGCTCTATTTATACTAATACAAAAGTATCTAGACTCTTCTACTATTAATGAATTCTACTCAATTCTACACAATTAATATTAGGAGAATTCTAGAGACCGCACTTTCTAGAGAAGTTCTAGAATTCATTCCTTCTACACTTTTCTACTACTTGGGCCTTCCCTACAACAACTAAAATAAATATTAATTAGGTCCAAAATATAAAAACAAGTTTAATTTTCAACAACAAATAACACAAAAAGCTTTCAGAGGTGTTTTTCCGATCCATTTAAAAGGTTAGTGGCATATACGTCAGTGACTAATTTGGACTTTCTCCCTTTTCTCAATCTACTTTTGTTATACTTTTTTTTTCACTCCCCTCGTTTTTCTTCTTATTACTTCTTTTTTTTTTGTATTTTTCTTCTTGTTACTTTTTTAGTATTTTTTCTTCTTTCTTCTTGTTAACTTAATTTCATCATCAATATATTTGTTCTCCTTTTTTGCATCATCGTATTTTTCTAAGTTAGTCAATCCATTAATTCTATCAATTACGGGAAAAACTATTTATGATAAATAAAAAAGGTTAGCTAGGGAAAAAATGAAATATAAAGAAAAAGAAAAATAAGCAGGCAAATTAAGAAAAAATGATGTATACTCTTTATATGAAAAGGGATAGAAGCTAAGGTAGAGAAATTAGCTTAAGCTGGGAAAAATCAAGAAAAACTCTAAAACAACAAGTCAAAAGTCACTAACATGTAAAAACTAGCTAGCAAAAAGGATGAGGTGAAAAGGGACAAAGAAAAAAAAAGACTTCTAAGATGTCGAAAATGGTAAAAAGAAGAAAAAAGAGAAGAAAAGGAAAAAAATGAGTTATGCGGGTTAAAGATCTTTAAAAGAGAATCAACTGAATACTAATATATAAAAAGGAATATAGTAAAAATGTGAAAGAAGAACATACATAGAGCAGAAATTCTACAAAAAAAGATTTCCTGACAAGGCAGAAATTTATAAAAGTGCTGAAATAATAAGAAAATAATAAGGAAATATATGATAGATAAAATATATAAAAAATAATAAGAAGATGGAAAAATGTGAAAAAACTACTTGAGATAGATGATAAAACAAAGCGAGAATTTTTTTGGTGAGAAAAAAGAAATATGATGTATGGGATTGTTTTATATAGATCGGTGAAAGGTGGTAGGATTATTTATGTAAGATTTTCAAATAAAAATAAAAAACCTAATATAGTAGGTCGCCGACTAATAAGGGACCAATGAAAGAAAATGAGTTGAAAAATATGTGATTATTCCAGGATAATGTAAAAGTGATATTAATTTAAGAAACCCGATGAAAGGTGGTATTATTTAAAATCACTTCTCATCATCTTTTCCTAACTTCAATTTCCTCCTTAAAGGTTTTCCTGTGTGGCCTGACGTATTCTCATATACGGCCTCCGTGAAATCTTCTCTCATATACGGCCTCCGTCAAATCTTCAAATTGACGTTCTTCAATTGATACTAATTTCCCTATTGAATTCCCAATAAGTTTTGCAAGTTTAATTTTGTAATAAAAATCTCATAGGTAAATTATGAGCTTGAAGCCAAAAATCAACATCATTAGTTAAAGAGACCTTCATATGCAATGCAATTCACTTACCTGTAAAACGTGCAAAACTTAAAAAATTTGCTCGAACATTCGTGGATCATTCTCAGACGCATGTTTCATATCAATCACATGATAAAAAGATACTACGTAAAAAGTACGTAGTAAATAGTTACCTTTTGTTTAATTGAAACGCTTTTTACTTGTTCACATATCGATGCTATAACATCTTCAAAGAAAGGAAACTTAATCGTTTTGTCAGTCGTTCCAATCATTGAGAGTGCTGCACCCTTGTCTTCTCCATCCACCGGTTCCTCGTCTACATCTATAGTGATCGAGGCCTTCATTATCTTCCTCTAAGACCATTTCTTGATAGTTATGCACAAAACCAATTATAGTTGTCATCTTGGATATTCACGTGTCCACGATTCTAGGGGGTGTTTGGAACTGATTCTGCTTCTGCTTCTTTTTTAAAAGCAGAAGCAGAATCAGAATCAGTTTTCAGAAGCTGGTACCTCTCAGCTTCTAAGGCTCTGTTTGCAAACCCAACTGGGAAGTGCTTTTAACTTTTTTAAATGATTTGGTAAAAAAGTGATTAATAGTAAAAGTTGGTAGTGTTTGAGAAAAAAGTGATTTTTAAAAGTAAAAGTTGGTGTTGTTTGGTAAAATAAGTGTTTTTTGTGTAATAGAAAAAGTAAAAAGCAGATTCTAGCTTTTAGCTTTTAAGTAATTCATTTAAGTAGAAGTTGTCATTTGAAAACATCTTTTTTAGCTTTTTTAAGCCAAAAGCTGGGAAGTGCTTTTTTAGTTGTGTTTGCAAACAGAGCCTAAAAAAACTGATTCTGAGAGTAAATTAGAGCTGCAGAAGTGCTTCTGGAATTTCACCCAAACACTCCACTTTTGCTTCTGCTCCCTGAAGGAGCAGAATCAGTTTTGAGAATCAGATCCAAACACCCCTAGTGTATTGTCGTTGCTACGTCAGGCGGTAGTCAACGACCCAACAAAAGTCGTTCACCAGTCAAAAATCAACATAGGGCTGGGTC